TTTTGATAAGTGCTTTTTTATGTGTGAAAGATGAGAGGAGAGGTAGTGAACTAGTATATTTTTACTACCAGGCATACGATACCATTTTGTTATATAGCCACTTCCTTAGAGCTTTATTTGGATGTTTAAGATTGGAAGCCAGTTCTCGGTAGGTTTTCCTCGTGTAAATTTTATATACGCTGACTGTCGATTTAATAATTCAAAGCACTCGTCCGTTTGTTCTTGTGTGGAACAGACGATGAAGCAGTCGTCTATGTATCGACAGTAGAGTAAGGGTCACCGAATAATAAAAAGTATTCTAACATAAAGTACGTCCAGGCTCTGAGGAAGGCGAGGTCGCCGAAACGTCAGCCATCGATCAACAACATCAAAAACACCGACATCGACAACGAAGACCTGTACCAACCTCGCGTCAGCTTAAGAAGATCAGTTTATAAGATCACATAAATAAATATGTTAGATTTCGTATGAAATGCTGAGATATTTGCAAAGCTCCTGACCGCAGGTGTATGCGGTGGGGAACGAACACGCGCTGTTGTTCCATTAAGAAGAAAAAGGCAGTAAATAAAAGGGTTAAGATTGTGATAATAACTAAGCCTCAGCTTAACTGGGTTCAATGCCGATATTGGCTCCCCAGATCAATCCCGTTGACGGGTGATTGCTGATGGCAAAAAGATCGATAGAACTAGCTGATAGGCAGGCAAGACGAGGGACTCGGATGGTGTGGTGGTGAAGTGCGCTGCTCCCCGGTAAGGACAACAGCGCGCGTTCGCTCGCCACCGCATACACCTGCGGTCCGGAGTTTTGCAAATTTCTCAGCATTTCATACAAGTTATATTTCGCAACATACCCTGCCATTAAGAAGAAAAAGGCAGTAAATAAAAGGGTTAAGATTATGTTAGATTTCCCAAATTCATCGCAACCATGTTACACGAGCAACGGTGTATACGTCTAAAAATTTGCTCCAACACGCAGTTCAAGATGTCATTTCTTCCACACCTACATTTACGTGACCAGTCATCCACTGTGCAGATCACACCACTTCATGTATCCGATTCGCTTTCCCTGCACTCGTCTATAAAGGCCCTCGAACATTTCGCGACTTGTTTGAGCTGCTGATTGAAGATTTCGTGTTCTTTATAAATGGCGCAGAATTATGGTTGAGTCTATTCTTCCTTCTTACAATCTTATAGTTAGCCAAGCTAAGCAGCTCCGACGTAGATTGGAAAAGCGCGTCAAGGCGGGTGTCAAAATAGCACCTTTGCACTCTGATCGACGGCATCACTTACCACTACGCTACATCTCCCCTTCCTTCCGTCCAAAACATCAAAAATCGATAATTTAAAAAACTGTCGCCGCTGAAGGAAAAGCAAACCGTGGCAAGTATACTTCGCTTCAAAATCGACTGAATCGTTTGCGGTAGTTCGTAGTTCGACGAACCATCCACCATTCCGAATATTTCACCACAGTGGACACGACGAATGCAAAGTCTGAAAGAAACGAAACATAGCTTCTTTCCTATCCTAATCTTGCGATCAATGCTCAAAATTGGAAAAAATACTATTTACAAGTCGGAAGTATCTTGCTGGTACATCTTGCAGTAGCTGCCACGACCGACTTTCTATTAATCTCGGCATTGATCGAGTAATTTTCTTCGTATTTTTGTTGAGCAAACGCGAGGTGTTATTATTCTTTGTTCACGATTAAACTGACGTTTCAGCGGATTTCGCCTTCCTCAGAGCCTGGAAAGGTCAAGTTGATAGCAATCTGCTAGGCCAGACGGTCGCGAGCGAGGCACACCCAGAGATCAAAATATCATTTCGAAATAGGGCGCCAGGTCACGTGTGATAGTGAGGGCATTCGTCCTTCTAGCTCATCTTTGGATTTTTGAAATTTATCCAATCCATGGTGAGTGGCCTTTCTGTTCAATATGGCGTCTATTTGAAAGTTTGATCTTCATTAATACTTTAACCTTCTTTTCCACCGAATAATAAAAAGTATTCTAACATAAAGTACGTCCAGGCTCTGAGGAAGGCGAAGTCGCCGAAACGTCAGCCATCGATCAATAACATCAAAAACAACGACTACGACAACGACAACGAAGATCTGTACCAACCTCGCGTCAGCTTAAGAAGATCAGTTTATAAGATCACATAAATAAATATATCAACTATGTATGCCGAGGTTCATAGAAAGTCGGTCTTTCGAGTTTTTAATAGTTTTGATTGATACTACTATTACTACGACGTAAAATATAATAAGTGGGCATTACAGAAGCGCAGACTTCCGAATTCCAAATGAACAGCGATGACCCAAGAATATTCTCCATTGGCGCAGTTGGTTAGCGCGCGGTATTTATAAAAGTAAGAAATGCCAAGGTCGGGAATTCGGTCCTCCCACGTAGGATTTCTAACCCAAAGACAAGCTGTAAACGATGATCAGAAAAGTTTAACGACCTAAAACAGCAGGTACTTACGAAAAGACGAAAAGATTCTGTTTGCTACGAAAACGAATAGTTAATACCGCTATCTTACACGAAGCACTTCAGAAGAACCTTCAATGGTACTGACAGATGACGACTCAAAAAGTAGCAGGAAGTAGGGATAACATGAAGGAATCTTCACCAATACAATATTATGCTTCCTGCTCTGTTCGTAAACGGAGAGATTGCAATTTGTCGCATTCTAATGGAAGCAGTAACAGAGAGATTTCGTACAATTCCTCTGCCAGGAATGTCATCTTCACTCTTTCATAGTCTTCGTCGACTACAAGAAAGCAACTGAGAACGTGGAAACTAACACTACTTTGCTAGTCTTAATTGATCTATATATAGATGCACCCAACTAGAAAACGTTTGCTGACTGGAACGGTCATTTCACAACGAAGATAAGGGTTTTTTGAACCTCGGAGCAATCGGAAGAAAACTCGCTTCATGAAGAATGCCTGGTGTGACGAAAGGATTATAACGCATAGATCACCGTTTGAGAAGACCACATCTTACGTGTAGCTAGAACGTTCAGTGAACATGGATAACAGCTTGAGTAAACTCGGTGGAAAACGACGTGTTGCTTAGGCTCCTCATTCTCATCCAGATCCTCAGTCCAGTATTAAGCAGCATACTAACCTCGACTTAGGTGCGCGCTTATTTCACGATACAGTTCCTCTAGCGCAATTCTATGCATCAGAAACATGGAATGCTATTTGATCGCACAATTCACATAATAAGAGTAGAAGTTACATAAAACATACAAGGCATTTGAGCATTGCCTTCTTAAGATACCCTCAGGGCTAGGCTCTCTTCGAAGTTCAAGTCCTCAATGAACATCTCTTCTTCAACATGCTGCAGAATACGCCTTAAAAAATAGACATCAATTTGGTCGTCATGTAATGAGAAGAGAAAACATCAGATGACCAGAATTACAGTATAGTGGGTTCCGAGAGATTTAAAATCTCAAGGATTATCAAGTAGATGCGCCAATGTCCTCGTTCCACGCGTAGACGCGTGAAAGTTGATTCCAGATCCTCAATCCAGAATGGAACCACGCATGAATACCGTTACCTCTGCTAATGACGATTGCAAGAAAAAGAAGGGAATGGATGTGCTAGTATCCTCACATGGGAAGACGACTCATCTACATATCTCAGTGGACATGGCGTGATAGAAACCTTCACTTAAGCTTTAGATATTCCTATATATGTAATATAATCTTGATGACCAGCATAAAACACTGTTTTCACGTAGTTCTAGGATGTCCGGACCCTTTTCTCACTTTCTTTAGAAGCAAAGCATCCACAACGCTCCAGACGCATGCTATCATACGTGGTGGTGCTGAGCGGACCAAGTGAATTATATGCTATGCACTTTTTTAAGCGATTTATTTTGCTAACACGGCTTTCTTTCCAGCGTTACCTGCATTCAATCGACAGTCTGTCCAGCACAAACTTTATGTCAGGCAAAACAGTTGTTTCCAACATATCACAGTTTATAAAGAGGTCTTCTTCGAACAACTGACTTGTAATTTGACTGGTAACTGACTTTTATTTATTTCAATCGCTATGACGAATCATAGTTATCATATGGAATATGCAGGTATAAAATAAACACAGCATAAATTCTAAGACACATCCTAATGACGGGAGTAATGTGGCTGTGTTAAGGACTTGGAATTATGGACTCATCTTTAATCCGCTCATCTTCTTAACCCCTCAAGGTCTCTAGCTATCGAAGAGTTATACTTTATTGCCTAAAAAGCAGCATAACCCTAACGGCTGAAAATTTCGCTTGGTTCCACGTTGCAACCACGCAAATATGCGCGCTGGCCGTTATATATCGTGGCATAAGCAGGTCGCCGTTTCATAATGAAAGATGACGAAGCATGCATTACTACTACATATCACGTAACTGGGAAGATAGAAGTACTGGTTCTGTGTATCGGTAGGCCACCGCGAGTCATTAAATAGGCCAGATATGCATTCAATCATCTCCAATCATGTTCAATGAAGACGAATTCATGGCGCATCCTTCAGGGATTGATCAACGCCGGGGCTTTCTCCTTTTATCCCTTTATCACGTAACTGAGTAGTACCACATGATTTCACCAACATAGATGTGCTTCATATTTTTCGGCGTACGATTTACTAAAACTATTAGTACGCAGTAGAGAAAATAGAAACATGTCTGCAGTCAGTATCATTCTCGTGTAAAATTAGGATAGCACAGCACCTCATTTGCCTACTTATCTTGGAACTGTAACGAAGGACAAATAATAGAATATAAAACTAAAGAAACGCTAGTGAGAAAGACTCTTTAATCACTTGTAAACACAATATCACATGTTACCACCACACATAAAAGTTACAAGAACGGATGTTACAGATTTAAGGTGAACAGTATCACAGATAAAATAGAAGTCAAAATAATACTGTTAAATCTTATTAACCCGGTCAGAAAATTAACCCTATTAGAAATATTCCTATCCCAATCACAAATCCTATATCAATTATAGCCGAGCTGACGCATGATTTTCGACGAACCACTCCACAGATGCCTTGATAGCTTCCTCAAATGGGGTGAAGCGGAAATCAGGCAAGTAACGTTTCAGTTTGGCGTTTGAAGCAGTTTTCTTCATTTGACCGTCGGCTTTCGAAACATCGAATTTCACTTCTCCCTAGTAATTTGCACAATAGTATCTTTTCAAGAACAACAGCCAATTAAGATTATATCAAAACTATACTTGATACTTGGATGGCCGGTCCTCACTGGTTGTGCGGGCCCCAGCATAATCTCCATTTTCGAAGATTTGCTAGTTAAGAAATTGTGGCTCTCTGGAATCCCGAGGTCGGCCTAGCCAAAGTCTGCTCAATGTTTTCACCACCACAGGCAGTCGCAGCCCTGTGGATCAGAGGGAGATTTACCACCATGCGACTTTGATACCGGGACGGTGGTGGATCCTGGTGTTGGTTTACTCTTAGCTAGGTTTCCTGATGGAAATGCCGGACTCCTTTTCAGCTAGGGAGACACTGAAAGGGGATGAATCCCTTGCTGTACATCGCAGTCCGACATCCAGGAACACCTCCCAGCCACGATGAGGCGGTAAACCGTTGGGAGGATCAAAACTATATACAGATGTAAAACTTCCAACTTCGACTTCAATAATTCGTCTTTAGATGTCTCAAATACGACTCTTCACAACACAACAAATATAAATATAGATAAACAACAAATTGCGTCCAATAAATAAGCAGATAAATACAATGGTGCTGAAATATTTGCAAATCTCCGGATTGCGTGTCTGTGGTGGGGAACGAATGCGCTATTGCCCTTTTCGGGGGCTAACGCGTTCACCACCACAGGATGTGGCTCCTTCGTTTCATTAGATGTAATAGCATACGTAAGTAAACAAATTACCTTAAAATCGAATGCCTTCACGATTGCATCCACTACATCAGCAATTGTTACTTCGTCCTCTTCTGAGACCGACAAGATAATTGGATCGACTTCCTATAGATTCAGAAATGAACAGAAAAGCAATATGTGAGTGGACTAAGAGTAGGTGAACTGACCTCGTATTCTCTCAATACCCAAATAAACAAATGCGCCAGGTCAAGAGAGTAGATAAACTGACGAAGTGGACGACCAGTTCCGAAAACCTCAACATTTCTCAATACGAAAGAAGTTGGAATTGAAACAAACCAATGCATACCACTAACAATAAGTGGCTTGTCTTCTTTCTTAGCCATAAAAGTCTTGTGAATTAAAGCAGGAAGAACATGTGCGGATTGGAGATTATAATTGTCATGAGGACCAAAGACATTACATGGGATCACTGATGTAAACCTAAAGATCGAATTTAATATGGGAAATTTAAAAGGACGGTTTGAAACTCAAATCACCAAGAAAACTCACTTTCTTCCACAATCTTGAGAATAACCACGATTCAATATGTCAATCATTCTCTTGGCATAAGAATAACCAAAATTTGAATCGTGCGGGGGTCCGAGATGAATCTAAAATGTAGGGGGTTTTGAATGGTGACAGAAAAAACGAATATTTTCGACAGGGTAAGAGCACAACTAATCTTGGAACCCACCATTGTTTCGTTAATTGGATATGTCACTGAATCGGGGAATATGCACGTCGATAGACAAGAGACACATTTGACGACGTCAAACTCATTGCACATTGCCAACACGTTGTCATTCATCGCCTAAAATAACATATACCATTGATTTTTAAAATAAAAAAAAGATAAAGCTCTCGGCGATGATCAATCCCGGAGGGACGTATTCGACTTCATTAAGCATCGTTGTAGGTGATTGAATGCATATCTGGTCTTTATAACGACTTACGATGCCTACCGATGTATCGAGTCAGTACTGCTACCCCCAGACGGGTCTGGTATCAATTTGCCGACTCCGTAGTGATGGAAAGCTTGGTGAGCCTTCGGCGCCTGATTAGTGGTTCCCTGCAATAGCCGTGCGTATTGCAGGGAACCACTAACCACTGCGATACACACGTCCCTTTTGACTTTTACGATTTTTAAAATAGAAGGCGCCAATCATATTCATCCATTATGTTGAAACCCGAGATTACTCATCGTTTCCATACATGCATTAACTGGAAAATATTGGCATCGTAGTCAAAATTCTAAATTTATAATAGAGAAACAAACCATTGGTTGTTTCAATTACTACATGGCGCAAGTAAATGAGTAAATCCAACAATTTCTCACTTCTTTTTCTTAAATGGGTACGCGCGTCGTGCAGTGGTCGGAGGCGCCTTGCAAAACACATGGGGTCGTTCCCCGCGTCTCAGGCACACCACCCCTCCATCTCCCGCATTTGGCTAAATGGTACTGGACTTGTCTCGGAGGACAACAGCACTGATTCGATACATCAGTAGGCCACCGCGAGTTATTGTAAAGGCCACATGTGCATTCATTCCTCTCCAAACGATGCTTAGTGAAGTAGAATTAATAACGCATCCCTCAGGGGCTGATCACTGCCGAGAGCTCTTTAGTTTTTCCTTAATTTTAGAAAAAAAACACCAAACCTATATTTAGCCTAAATTCGCCTCCATACTGCGGTATAGCAGATGGTACGTGGTACATATTAGGGATAGAAACAAATTCGTACAAAAAGAAGTTCATAATATTTTCACCAGTATAATTCACCATATTTTTTCTGAAGAACTCCAGATTATGCGCGAGATTGTGGAAGAGACCGCCGACCATTGCAGCCAAATGGATGACATGAGTAGGCCTCACATCCTCGAACAACTTTCTAAATAAAGCTTTAATCAAATCAATATGCTCGTTAATATAAATTAAACATTGCTAGCAAACCTAGTGGATTGTAGATCGCAAAGATCGCAGTCTTTACTTCCAATAAAGATCCATTTCTCATCGCCATGTTGCTCCATGTTCACAATCTGAACCAATGCTTGTATTAAAGCCCTAAACATATTGCTCTACAAGGGGTGGTAACGAAAATGATGCTACAATGACGACGTTCCTTTTCAACCTACTGTACCTATTGCAGGAATTCTCTGATCATGTATATCTGAAACCAAGACGTAGTGGAATATGAATGAACGGATCCGTGATTTCGACACTTTCTTATTTCGATATTGCTCACCGTTTACCGCCTCATCGTGGCTGGGAGGGTTTCTGGATGGCGGGCTGCGATGTGCAGCAGGAGATTCATCTCCGCGACAGGGTCTCCCAAGCTGAGGAGACCCGCGTTTCTATCAGGAAGCCCGGCTGAGAGTAAAGCAATACCAGGATCCACCACCATTATGGTATCAAACTAATCGCATGGTGGGAAATATCCCTCTGATTCACAAGGGGCAGACTGCCTGCGGTGGTGACATGGGATAGATTTTGACCAGGCTGACTTCCGGACTCCGGGGAGACAATGGCTAAACCAGCATAACTCCGAAAAATGGAAAATTTACTGAGGACTGCATAACTAGTGAGGACGGGGCATACTAGTATCCAAGTAAGATAGTGGTCACAGAGATCCATTCATCCAGAGTTTGTTACCATTCGGTTTCAGGTATACCTGATTACACAGAACTTATACAGTAGGTACACTAGATTGAAAAGGAACGTGGTCGTTGCAGCATCATCTCTGTTACCACCTTATAGAACAATATCAGTAGTAATTCCCATGACCGACTTCCTACTAACCTCGGCATTGATCAAATAATTCTTGATATTCTTGTTGAGCAAACACGAGGTGTTACAGAATATCGAGAACAATATTAGTGTTTAGGACTTTAGTATTTCACAGTAACCTGAAAACAAACCTTCTCAATTGCCTTCCCCACCAATCCTGTGCCACCTGTTACAAGAACAATCATCTTCTTTGAATCACCGCCTGCCATGTCTCGTGAGAAACCTCTTCGGCCTTAAGTGACTTTTGTGCCTGAGTGACTAGCACAAGAACGACATCAAACGTATTCTCGCAATTGTAAACATTATTTAAAATATTCAGTGGCCAACACCTCCAACGAAAACGAAGAGAAAAAAGCTAGTTCTTTGCAGAATTGATTTAGAAGTAGTAGCCAAATGACAATGACATGAATCTTTATCATAGAGAAGTGGTACAGTTTGGGCGAATGAACCCGGTCTATATGCATACAAATACACTGCCCATACCAAATCTGTGGACTATAAACAAACTGAGAGCAAATTCAATATGGAGATATTTCGATAACACAACATCCCAAGTGATTTAAGCAAATCATATAAACTTAGTACACTGATATTAGTGAAAAACAGGAGCTTGACTAATTAGAACCAAGAACAATCACTCAAGAAATGAACTGGTGATCTAATTAAGGCTGTTGAAATTAACAGGAATAAGCAAAGTCGTTCTCGATCTACTCAGGTCGCTTCTCGGCGTGCTTCCTTGTAAATTCCTCAGCTGTTTTGTTAAATTTCTTACGGTCTTTGCTAAATTCCTCAGCCAAATCAGCTCTAAGTGGATGATCCGGTTCAGGTTCTTGTATCAGGGCAAGAAGTGCCATCATCACTAGAAAATTCAAATGACAATATGGGGCAGGTCATCGTATACTCGCATAACAAGAACGGCTCTTAAAGAGTGACTTCACTCTTGCTGTTAAAGCAATGTGAAGGATGATGTTAAGATTAAAAATAATACTGCCACGTTACTACATCGGTATATCTTAAATGACAAAGAATCTGAGAACGACATGACACGATAAACTCGTCTCTCAACGCACCTTGCTCTGTTCGAGTTGCTGGTTTCCAGTTATTTGGGTCAACAATGGGAAGGCAGACCTAAGCATACCAAATGTTAATTTAGCAATGGTGAAATGCATAATATAAAGGATGAAGGATAAAGCTCTCGCCGTTGGTCAACACCTGAGAGATGCGCCGTGCATTAGACTTCATTAAGTATCGTTGGAAGCGACTGAATGCATATCTGGCCTTTACGATGACTCGCGGTGGCCTACCGATGTGTTGACCCAGTGCTGGTATCCTCTCAGACAAGTCTGGTACTAATTTGTCGACCCTGGAGGGATAGAAGCTTGCTGAGCCTTGGGCGTGAGGATCGATCCCATGTGTATTGTAGTACGCCTCTGACCACTGCCCTACACGCCCCATGCATAATATGGTGAACATTTCAAATAATAAACAGGTGTAGTTGAGGTGTTGGACAATTACAGCTGTATAAAGTCATATAACATGATATTAGAGAGTGCGTGTAGAGCTATGGTAGCAGGCGCCCTGCAATACACATGGGATCGATTCCCGCGCCCCTGGAACTCCAAGCCTTTTAACCCTCCGGAGTCCGCACATAGACACCAAACTTGTGTGGCAGGATAGCAGCATTGGCTCGATACATCGCTAGGCCAGCACGAGTCACTGTGTGGACCAGATGTGCATTCAATCACCTTTAACAATGCTTAATGAAGTCGCATTTATGGCGCATCCTTCAGGGATTGATCAACGCCGAGCGCTTTTTATCGTTTTTGACACAATATTCACAAGAAATTGTCGACAAACACAACTATCAGAACAACCCAACAGAACGAAATGCCAGCAATTATTACGAAAAAACACAAGAACAACTAACTTGTCCCTTGTCATCAATATTCGGATGGTATATTTTAGTCGCTAGCGTGATCTTCGGTGGCTTGAAAGGATAATCGGCGGGAAAGTCAATGTTGACTTTGAATGCGCCCTTGTTGTAGGGCTCTTTATCCTAAAAATATACCACGTTATGAGTATAGAAAGTATGAAATCATGATGCTTAACTTCTTATTTACTGCCTATTACATTCCACGGCATGGTATTGTGTGGAATGTAACTATAATGGCATTGAGATATTTGCAAAACTCCGGACCAGTGTCTGTGGTGGGGACAGAACACGCTGTTATCGTTTCCGGAGACTAACGCGTCCACTACCACACCACGTGGATCCTTCATTTCGCTTGTCTCTTAACTAGTTTTCTATGGTGGTGGTAAACGCGTTTACTCTAGGAAAGGCTAACTACGCGTTTAATCCCCACCGCAGACCACTGCGGACCAGAGTTTTGTAAATATCTCAACATCATTGTGCTTATAATTCACTACACAAGCGATCTACTGTGCTCATTCTTTATGTCCAACTTACGGGCACAAGGAGGACCGTCCAATGTAAGAGATTCGACTCATTGTATTCCACGCTCTCATAAGCTTTGACACCACACGATTTCAAGTCGGAAAGTTCCTGTCATAATAGCGAAAGATAATTTAAACACCGTTAACCATTGCTTTGACCAAAACAGGTCTTAAACGAACCTTCTGAAGTCGTCGTGTAGAAGCCATTTCTCGAAGCCGAGTCACCTAAAGGGTACTTAATGGGTGGTTTCTTAAAAACACAAACACTGAAACACCTAAGTGCTTTAACTAAACGGTAACTGTCAAGTAAATCAAAGTAGTAGAGGAACACTACGACTGCGGTGCCAGACAGTCAAGTTAGGATCCGTCGTGACAACTGGCTGACTGGTCGCGTAGGCAATGAGCAAAAACAGCCGTCTGATTAAAAGTTTAGGCCGCAATGTACGATCATGTGGAGCGAATTTTAACTATAGTTTTAAATATTTGGCATATTTTACTTGTTTGAAACGGAGGTGGCGATTATTATCCACGATTTCTACCTCCAAATCCTTAAACGACCTTGGATTAAGCTTTTCTAAGTATTCTATTATTTAGTCATCTATTTAATTCTATGGTAATTACTTGTATTGCGAGCAAAGACAGGTCAATGACACCAATTCCTCTCACTTACCCGGGCGTGCGTGCACAATCCGGTAAGGAATCTATGAAGAGTTATTTTCTTTTGTCGTTTCAATCGGTGGGTACCTTATTTCATCTAGGGAGACTTCTTAACTGTACTCCTAAGGCAGCTGAACCGTACAGAAGTCCTATTGCTGGTCATCATGATGAGGATCCCTCTACGAGTAAGTTCTGTCTCAAAAACTTAAAACTAATGTCGGTAGGTGCTGCTGTTATTCTAAGAGATTGCTACTGAGATTGTGGTTCCTTGGAGGTAGTCTTTTGGGTTCTCTTTTACAGTTTGTACTATTGTTAAGATTGTTTCTACATTGGCAGAGGATTGTAACTGTACGAATCACTTAAACGAACCAGCGTTTAAATCTGTCTTAAGAAGTAATTGATGTTTTCTGGGCTTACAGAGTTCTTACTTTTCTCCTTCACACCATTTACCTTACCACTTAGTTTTGTTAAGGCAAGATTAAACGTATATGGAATATAGTGCTGTTTATCTTTCGCCCCTTTCTCAGTCCACCTGCAAGTTCTCCATGTAAGTTCTGCGATCTGGTCACTTATTGCTCAGCACTGGCACATTGTCGTACGTAGCGTTGCCTTATCATCACACACATACAGTTGGATACCGAAAATGCTAAGTTCATTTGACTTGGTTTGCGAGTCTAACCATTCCTTATGGATATCACCGTCTTTAGGCTCAGGATGATCTTTCCACGTGTAATTTAGTGATGTAAAGGATAAAAGGATAAAGCCGTCGGCGTTAATTAATCCCTGAGGGATGCACCATACGTTCGACTTCATTATGCATCCTTTGGAGGTGACTGAGTGCACACTTGACCCTTACAATTGCTCGCGGTGGCCTACCGATTCATCGAGCCAGTGCTGATATCTTCCCAGACAAGTCTGGTACCAACTTTCCGACCCCGCAGGAATGGAAGGCTTGGTGGGCCAGTGGAGCGGGCATTTAGTGAAGCACTAGCATTTAGGTAATGCATGATCCTATGAAAACGATCTCTTCAGAGAAAGGAGATTTCGTACGTGGCGCCCATCGACTTCCACTCTCCTATTGTCTCTGCTTTGGTGTTAAAGTAATATAGCGTTCTTTTAGTAAATCTCCGAACGCTATGTATTCTATTTGTTTCATTGAACGCGTTCCAAACCGTTCTTTTTCACTTTGCTCTTCTTCATCCAGTGTTTCATCGACTCTGTTGTGGACGACTCCCGTGGGAAATTTCCTGAGCACAGAGAGCAAGCGGACCGCGTGATAGTTACTTATGTCGTCTAACTGTGTTTTGTGCAACTCTTAGTTTTTCCTCGACTAAGAGCTTTGCATTCTGAAAGGTAACGTATGGAAAGCTAGCCTATTGCTTTACTTTGAGGACGTTCTCGTCATGGTAGAGCTGCATGTGGATTGGGGTATCACGGAAAACGTATGAAAAGTTGTAAACAACCTTTGTTGGTTTTTTAGACAAAGAGACTTTTGTGTTGCTCTAGATGGTCAGTTTGATGTAACTGGCGAAATCTTAGCTGGTCGTCTTAGTGCTTTTGAAGACGTCTGAATGTTCACTACTGCTTTTGTCATCTGGAGATCTTCCATTATCACGTTTGTAAAATTCTTCTTTCGGACACTACATTATTTTACTGTTCTATTCTTTTCCATTTTTTATTTTTCATTAGATTAAGGCGCGTGTGGCTCAGTGTTCGAAGGCGCCCTGTAGCACACACGTGGAATCGATCCCCGCGCCAATAGCCCACCAAGCCTTCCATCCCTCCGGGGTCGGCAAATTGGCACCAGACTTGTCTGGGAGGATAGCAGTACTGGCTCGATACATCGGTAGGCTACCACAAGTCATCGTAAAGGCTAGATATGCATTAAATCACCTCCAAACGTTGCTTAATGAAGTTTAATGCATGGCGGGTCCCTCGGGAATTTATCATCGCCGAGAGCTTTACTTTTTTTTATCCCATTAGCTTTTGCAAACACGATTTAAAGGTATAAGTGGAGATAAACTAAGTGTGGGAAATGTATATTGTTGCTAGTTTTTAGATCTCTAATGCGTTACTGGAATTGTAATCCCTTAAAAGTTCTTAGAGTCTGCATAGATTCGTTTCTGTTTATGTCCTGTGCTCCGGGAGACTCCCACATTTAATGAGAGGCTCTGAAATTGTGAACATGATTTCTTTGAATGGTCCCGATCACTGTAAACCTGTACAACCTTTAACCCAATTCGTCTCAATCCACTGGACCCGATGTGGATCCTTTTAAGTGTTCTCTTGGTGTCGTTGGTGACATCGAAGTAACTCTGGTGGTCTTGTAAAAGACGTAGCTTTCGACTCCAACTCTATATAGAATGCCTGGGGGTATTCCGTTGTAGCTTGATTTGGGGATTAAGAGGTAAAGGGTGTAACAGCCCTCAGTGTTTCCGTCTTTTCAATGGTGAGTGTCTAATTCGAGACATTAGTAGTTTGAGGAAATCGGTGGACGATTTACTATTAAGCGATTAGGTCATCACCGTAGTTACTTTACTGTATTCCGAGTAAGAGCCGTTCTGTATCACCGTAAATCGCTTGTGAAGAGTAGTGTTCTCTCGTACAGGCCAATCTGGTGGTTTGAGGATGTCATGTCTAATGTTTCTAACTTGTATCATGAGGTTTTCACTGAAGTATTCCAATATCAGCTTGCATAGGTTGATGTATCCATCATCATCACACACTTTTCACAGACTGTCTAACGCTTATTCTACAATCCTCTCCATTATCTTTTCAGTGGGTTTAAGAGGATCCTATCAGAACCAGTGAACAGCCCCTTTATGCATGCTGTTTGGCGTGTAGAGGGGATTACAGTGTTATTAAGATTGATATGCGCAAATATACCGGCAATAAGGACGTTAGGACATTATAGAGGGTGGGCTTATTTTTACAGATAGCGAAAGCATCCTATGTAGTTCTCTTTCACTTGGTTGAAGCCGTTTTTGTTTAAGCGATGAATATGATAGAATCTGCACTTATCAAAGCTATCATTCATGTATTTGTAAGTATGTCTATATGAGCACAAAATTTGTAAGCTAGTAGGTCGCAGAAGAGAGGCAGTCATCCCTCTGAACTCGTCTACGTCCCAAGTTACGTCAATGTTGGATTCTGGCTCTCCCTCTTCGCGCACATAATGGTATTCTATGTGGCTTATAGAGGAACTGGTCGCAGATCTCTCAATTGTGGAAGATCCATATACGATCGCTAAGTGGGGAACATTTTAAGGTCTTGAAATGCATGAACTTTTTTTCGGTTCACATTTAGTTCTTGTTGAATAAGTGTTTGTCCTAAATAATGTTCCTAATGTTTGTCCATCAATTTCAGCAGAAACCGAAGTGAGTAATTGTTCGAGTTCGGTGCAGAGAAAGAGACATCGAACTCAGAAGAGAAGGTCCAATCTTCCTATAACACCATTACGCACCGTGACAACGATGAGAAGGTCAACTCGCTTATCGGTGAGTTAAGAAAAAGTTGTGAAATAGAGTTAAGCTATCATCATTTTTCCAAATGAAAACGTTTAGATGGTTGAACTTGATACATCGTTGTCTAATATGGTATGCAACGAAGGCTTTGATCTTTGCGGTTTGCCGAAATCCGCAAGAGAAATTTATATTAAGAAGAGAAACATTAAGCAATTGTACGGTAAGTGATATCTGGCAAGGTTATATAGTACTGGTAGTAGGTAGTGGTGGTGGTGGTGGTGGTACTGGTAAGGTTATATAGTACTTACTTTGAAACTTGGACGACCCGTCTTCACTGGTCGTCACTCCAGCATAATTTCCATTGTTTTGGAATTTTGCTGGTTTAGTCATTGTGGTTCTCTGAAGTCCTGAAGTCAGCTTGGCCAAAGTCTGCCACATATCGTCACCACTACAGGCAATCGTCGCCTTTGTGGATCAGAGGGAGATTTGCACCACATAACTTGTTTGATACCAGGACGATGGTGCATCCTGGTGTTAGTTTGCTTTTAGCTGCGTTTTCTAATGGAGGAAACGCCGGACTCTTCATTTTGGGAGGCACTTCTGTGAGAATGAACCTCCCGCTGTACACAGCCCGACACCTAGGTGCCTAGGAGCACCTGTCAGCCACGATGCGGTAAACTGTTGGGAGGAAGCTTATATTTAGTCAATATTGTGTAGTTTTCGCGATTTTATGGTAAAAGTGGTTGTTTAGAGTGGCAAAAGGAATGCCTTTCGGACAATCGACTTTTGCGCGGTTCAAATTGTGTTGTTTGTTTGCCTACAGGAGCGGGGAAAACTCTGATTGCAGAGGTTTTGTTTAGATTACAGTAGTGCAAAGGCTTACAAAAATCTTAACGACTTCAGATACTAATGCTAAGGGAAGCTATAGTGAAGAAGAGGAGCTCGATACTTGTTTTACCATACATAGCCATTGTTCAAGAAAAAGTACTCGTCTTTACCGTCCTTTTCAGTTCTTATAAAATGTTATAGTTATGAAGTTATTTTCTTCAGATTGTCTCCTTATCTGTCTTCGAAGAAGCTTTTGGAATTAGAATAGAAGAATATGCAGCCAATAAAGGTATCCTTCAGAACTAGTTGAGAATGAATATACTAGCTTAAGTCTGTATAGTCTTGAATGTTTAGGTCGCATCCCACCAATTAAACGACGAGGTAAAGTGTCCATATATGTGGCAACTATAGAAAAGGTTTCATTTTATATGAAATGATTTGAATTTGTATAGAAGAAAGTCGATATTTCTGTTTGATTTGGTACTGTAACCTAATTCGGGCGCCCTTTAGGCCAACAGTCTTATGAATTCACTTATTGAAACGAATGAGTTGGATCGTATAGGGCTACTGGTGATTGATGAGGTAAAGTTGAAGAGACCTTTCCTTTCTGTTTAACTCTTACTGCCTGTTGTTCTGTTTTCACGGCAGGGTGATTTGTGAGACTTTTCGTTTATTTTTGTTGAACTGTGAATTTGATCCACAAGTCATCACTTGTGTTGTTTGTGTTGCAGTTCATGAAAAGGTCCATGAAAAGGGTTGGTTTAAAAAAAGGACTGAACGACAGCTAAAGAGTAGGTGCTGTGGACTGGTTTTATGAAAACTATATTCAGAAATAATTCCTCAATGGGAAACTTACAAATATTGTAGGCTCACTTAGTGACTTGTAAAATTCCCATGTTTACATTTGATTTATAAGAGAGGTGACATATTCTTCCTTACTTGGATACTTTTACTGCCCATCCTCACTGGTTGTGTGACCCCCAGCATATTCTTCATTTTTCGGAATTTTGCTGGTTTAGCCAATGTGGTTCACTGGAATCCCGAAGTTAGCATGGCCAAAGTCTGCCCCATCTCTTCACCACCGCAGGCAGTCGCAGCCCTTGTGGAACACAGGGTCATTTGCCACCATGCTAGTTTGATACCGGGATGGTGGTGGGTCCTGGTATTGGTTTCCTCCTAGCTAGGCTTCCCGATGGAGACGTCGAATTACTTTTCAGCTTGGCAGACCCTGCAGGGGAACGAATCCCTCTGTGCATCGCAGCCCGACGCTCAGGCACACCTCCCAACTACGATGAGGCTGTTGTGAGGGGTCACAAATAATTTTTGGTCGAAATCTTTACTTTGTGAGATGGATTTGAAAAATGATGTTTCTAGTGCTGTTCAGAGCTGTTTTTCAGACGTTAGTACAAAATACCTCGTATAGAAAGACACATATTCTTTTTGTTAGAAGTTTATTAAAGACAAAAAGAGTTTGAACAACTTTATGTCATCTGTAGCCGTTGAACTTTTGTTTTAATAAGGTAGTTCGTAAGCGTACAGTTCAATCTGATCTGTCTATTCGTTATTGTTTTCTTATCAGCTTCATATGATTGGAGATGGAAGTCGAGGTGCGATAATCGAGGAAGTAATTTGCAAGTATTTAACAAAAGGTCGGGAAACTTTCTTTACTTTTCTTCATTTCTGTTAGTTTCTTCCCGCGGTTTTTATAAATGAGGTTCCTGTCTGATCAATAATTAAATTTCACAGTCTCATTAGTTGGGAATGCACTTCAGGATTCGGTCAAATTATTGGCATGTCGGCCACCCTATCCAATATTGATGAGCTGGCTTCTTTTCTTCGCGGTTATGTGTATTCAACTACATTCCGGCCGGTGCTTTTCCAACAACTACTGCCATTTCAAGTGTTCAAAATTATTTTAAGTTAACTGATTTAGGTTGAACTAAACGAGTTCGTTCGCATAGGGCAATCAATATGGAAGATAATGCCGACAGGCCACCTCCAGCACAATGCAGATTTGCCAGCAAACGTACTTTTTTAAAATTTACACTTATAAAAAGTAGAAAATTTTCGCTAAAATGTTTTTTTCCGGTAAGTTTTGCTAGCAGCAGAAGTTGTAGTCCTGTGGTAAATCTGGGTTTAAGTTAAATTTTCTGCAAGTTTTAAGCTGGAGTCTAGGTTATAATTTATGCCGGCGCCCCGGGCTCACCAAGCCCGCCATCTCTCCGGCGTAGACAAATTAGTATCAAACTTGTCTGGAAGGTCAGCAGCACTGGTTCGATACATCGATAGGCCACCGCGAGTCATATAGGCCAGATATGCATTCATTCACCTCCAGCGATGCTCAGTGAAGTCGCATGCATGGCGCGTACCTCAGGGATTGATCAACGCCGAGAGTTTTTGTGTTTAATATACTGATTTTTTAGTAACTTTGTTTATATCATATTGTAGTAATGTACCAGGAAATCTTATTAGTGTTAGATACAGCATTCTACAGTGTATAAGTGACTAGGAGATGTATTTTGATAATTAAAATCCTACAGCGACTTTCGAAAGCTGATCCCGATGGATTGTGTCAGTTATTGGTTGGAGTTGTCCCCCATCGATCTGTTTTAATTTTTTGCCCGACGAAAAAGAACTGTGAAAATGTGGCATCTATGATCGCACGATGTGTTCCGAGGTAAGAATTTTTCCGAATTATGCTGTTTTGTCTAATAGTCTAATTGTAATACATTAAAGTGATGTGCGCAAATGGAGACTTGAAGAGAAGAAGAAAGTTCTTGAAGCAATGAAAGAGGACTGCGAAGGAAAAGTAATGTGGTATAGTTGTCCTTTCTGTAACGACAACTAATTGTTCTATTGAAGGTATCGCCGTTTTTGGAAGAGACGGTTTTGTCGGGAGTGGCATATCATCATGCAGGTCTAACTATCGAGGAAAGGAAGCACATAGAGGCTGCATATTCTGTGCGTTTTTTGTTGAATGTTTTTTCAATTTGTTTGTTCTATCGTTCTGGTAGGTTCGGTCAGCATACATTCCATTCATACATTCTTTTAACCGATAACACCCCAAATAGGCACTATAGGATCCGTAACGAACTGGATCAGACCACCGTATGGGCATTATAGTGTTCATATTGAGTTTAATGGGTTCCAGAGTTTTTTTGTAAATCAAATTATATGTATTCATTCGATAGCTAGTTGAAAGCAGATCCAAACAATAGGATTGAGGTCAGAAAAACTGTTATCTACAGTTAACGATTTCCAGCAACCTTTTTTTTCCAGAAAAGTCCATTGACTGGTAATTTGATAAAGAATTAACTGCTATTTCATCTTAACCGTGATGTTATATGGAATATGTTGTTATAAAAGACACCGAAATGGACTCAGCGTAGGCTACAAAATCCTTCTAAGTGCTGACAGCAATGTATTTGCATGCTATATCATAAGCAATACAGTAAATAGTAGCACACACAGCACTTGTGCTAATAGAACGATACAGCACAGTCTTTCCCACAATTCTGTCGTTTTCACAGCCCTTAAAGCGCTGTGGTTACTGGAAGAATTATTTTTGATTGTAAAAGAAAAGGAAGGAAGTTCTCAACCGACGAAAAATTGCTCGTCATCGGCTGGGCCAACCAAGAAATATGGTAGCGGAGCATTATAGGTTAGATTTACTTCACCAGACATCACATATTGTGCTGATGAGAGGATTTTTTCTATTCGATTCACTTCTTTGGTTCCATCAGCCACGAATTTTTTCAGATTTACTCTCTTTTTTTGGTTTCTGTTTGGGCATTTTTGGTCTGCTTTGTGGTTGTCATGGATGCTAGTCGTGTCAGTTCTCTCTGAAATTCTAGGAGGGTGTCCACAGGTCTTCACCACAAGCTGTGGTCATCATTTCTTGATAATGGAGCTCTTCTTAGGCAAGTGTGGTAAAGTTTTCCGATCACAGACAGATGGGGGGATTGGTTAACCCGAGGCTTCGTCGAAAGAATATCTCTACGAATTCACAGTGCTCGGGATATGAGTTTTGCTTTTCTTTTTTATCCGCACAAAAGTCTGTAGACTCTTTGGGATGGTGATGTGGAGTTACTGTAGAGCCTGTGTCACATTTCCTTGTGAGTCTTTTCGTCATATATTAGAGTTGTTCCTCACTAAGTTGATGTGTGTTTATGTATCGAGACTACCGTTATTGGGTGCAACATAATGGTTTTGGTGGTCTTATTTACGTTTTTATGTAATTTTGAAGGTTCATCTTGCCAAAATTGGCAGCATCGTTTACAGTTGCATACTAGCGAAGAGTTAACTTCTTACAATGTTAACTTTTATTCCCTGCCTACTACAGTTTTTAACGGCAGAGTATTATGTGAAATAAAACTATAGTGATGCTGAAATATTTGCACAACTCCTGACAGCAGGTGTATGCGGTAAGGATCGAACACGCTTTTGCCATTTCCTCAGGCTAACGCATTCACCATCACACCAAGCCGGTCCTTCGTTTCGCCTGTCTCTTAGGTTAACTAGGTTCAATGCCGATTTTGGCTTCCCATATCAATCCCGTTGATGAGTGATTGTTGATAGCACTGGTAGATAGAAAACTAGCTAAGAGATGGGCGAAGCGAGGACGGAAGAAGGAAGGGTAGTAGCGTGTTCGGTCCCCACCGCAGACACCAGCGGTCCAGAGTTTTGCAAATACCTCAGCATCGTTACAGTCATATTTTACGTAATACCTTGCCATTAAAAAAGAGTAGGCAGTGAATAAAAAGTGGCGTGATATCTCAATGTCGTTGTGTTTGCATTTGAGTAGTTATTGTTGTACATATATATGTACATGTATATATGTATATATATATATATGTATATGTGTCCTGTTGATACTCGCTCACTTCTGTTTTCTTATTCCAGGATGGTATTATTTGCATTATCTGTGCCACATCAACGCTGGCTGCTGGCGTAAATATGCCAGCCAGGAGGGTGATAATAAAGGTACAAATCTCATTATGTTGGATATATGATCATTAACTGTCACGGAGTTTCGAAATCTGTCAGCTTTCATGTTTGTTATATACATCTAGTCTCCGATGGTAGGCTGTAGTCCTATTACCAAAGCACAGTACTTGCAAATGATAGGAAGAGCTGGAAGAGCTGGTTTTGATGCAAAAGGTGATAGTATCACAATTGTTCGACCAGGTCCTGAGGAGAGACAGGTGGTCATCTTTTACTTTTACTACGTTTATATTTGTATGTTTGTAGAACGTACATATATGAACATATATGTATATATATGTGCATATGTAATATATATATATATATATGTATACTTTTTATGTCGCGACTAACAAGTCAGTGCAGTGTAATTCACTTTGTTGTAGTAAATTCTGGATTAACTATGTCTCTGTATTGCAACACGTTCAGTTCCGGGATATGCTGTGTTCTCCAATGTTGTCTTGCTCAAGCGGATTGGCGAACGTGGAACGTCTTTGCTCTTTTGTTCTAGATCTCGTTACTTTGAAGGTGAGTCTTGCTTACCGTTTGGTATTTTCATGATTTTTGAGTCTCATCTGAATCCTACTGAGATCATGCGCATTAAGTTCGGTATGTTTATTGGCTGTTTTTATGGACCATGGATTAAATTTCAACGGTTTCCTCCAGCGGTTTACCGCCTCATCGTGGCTGGGTCGGACTGCGTTGTACAGCGGAGGGTTTCATCCCTCAGCAGTGCTTCCCAAGCTGAAAAGGAGTCTGGCGTTTCTATCAGGAAGCTCAGCTGTGAATAAACCAATACAAAGATCCATCACCGTCTTAGTATCAAACTAGTCGCATGGTGTCAAATTTCCCTTTGGTCCACAAGGGCGGCGACTCCTGATGGTGGACCTGAGGCAGACTTTGGGCAGACTGTTCTCGGGACACCAAGGAACCGCAATAGCTAAGCAAGCAAATCTCCGAAGAATAGATATCATGCTGCGGTTCAAAACCAGTGAGGACGGGCCATCCAAGTATCCAAGATTAGATTTATGTATAGATTTAGATCCGCACTCTTCAACACATATTTATCGATAAGTGGAGCTTTTGAAATGCTTAACACGCTTGTAGAGACGAGTTAACATAGTCTTAGTGGCTTTACGTTTCTTTTCTCGCATACCTACTTTTTGAAGGTTTTTTTGGAGTTAGAATTTAAAATTGTTGATGATGTAGTAAAATTTTCAACAAAAGTGGGCTAACGTCCACAGTGACTCGTTAATACGAACTGGTCTTTCTGGATGAGGTCGTATTTTTTCTACTACCTTAATTTCCTAGATACCAATTTCAGTAACGGGAAAGAGAAGGCAATTAATGTGCTTCGAAAAAATTAGGACTGTATCGGAATAAATCAACTAAGTGGACTTATGTACTTTGTTTCATTGATAAGTTAACATGAGTTTGTTATCAAATATTTAAATATTAAACAAACAAATATTAAACAAACAAAACCAAAGAAACAAATGCGAGGTGTTCCTGGGTGTCGGACTGCGATGTACAACGGAGGGATTCGTACCCCGGCAGGGTCTCCCAAGCTGAGGAGTCCGGCGTTTCCATCAAGGAGCCTAGTTAAGAGTAAACCAATAACAGAATCCACCACCGTCCTGGTATCAAGGTCGCATGGTGGTAGATCTCCCTCTGATCCATAAGGGCTGCGATTGCCTGTCGTGGTGACGACTTGGGGCAGACTTTGGCCTGGCTGACCTCGCAACTCCAGGGAACCACAATGGCTTAATCAGCAAATCTCCGAAAAATGGTGTTTATGCTGGGGTCCGCACAACCAGTGGGGACGGGCCGTTCAAGTATCAAGTGAGTAACGAGCAAATATTTGTTAACAATCTCGTGTTATGCAACCAGGATGATTCTGAGATATTTGCAAAACTCCAGACCGCAGGTATTAAACTGAGTTCAATGTCGATTTGGGCTCCCTAGATCAATCCCGTTGACGGGTGGTGGCTGATGGCAATGGTAGATCGAAAATCAGCTGAGACACGCGAAACGAAGGACCCGCGTGGTGTGGTGGTGAACGCGTTGGCCCCCGGAAAGAGTAATAGTGCGTTCCTTCCTCACCGCAGACACCTGCGGTCCGGAGTTTTTCAAATATCTCAGGGTCATCTTCGTTGTATTTCTCATCATACCGTGCCGTGAAAGATTGTAATCTCATGTTAGTTTATCAATGAAGCAAAGTACATTGACCATTTATATCGAGGTTTAACGAAAGTTGGTTTACAATAATTGGCTTATTTCTTGTTCTCAGAGATGCTTAGAATGTTTTGGTTTCATTTTGAGCTAGAACGTGTTTGCTTGTAGATGAAAGGCTAAAAGTGTTTCGGTATCGTAGAGATTGAAATCGATAGATTTCACCACGAATGTGTTAGTGGTGAAAAACTAAGTAAGTTTCCCATGACCGGCTTTCTATTAACTTCGGCGTTGATCAAATACTTCTCGACGTTGTTGCTGAGGAAACATGAGATGTTACTTTATTCTTTATTCCGTTAAAGTTGACGTTTCGACAGTGTCGTCTTCCTGAGAGCTTGGGATGGTGTATTGATAGGCAATTTGCTATGTTAAAAGTTCTAATAACACATACAGAAAGTTTGAAACCTAAATCGCAATCACACGATCAACAGCTTCTTGAAAACCCACCGTTTATTACGTGCCTTCCACTGAGGAAGAACAGCTGATCAGAGTTGTACATGGTCGATGAATTGAATGCACCACCCCATATCAAAAGTCGGTGCGAAGGTATGGAGCGGTATCACGTGTGATCTTCGAGCATTCTTTCCTGCTGTTCATTCTGGAGTTTCTGATGTTTATCCAAAAAGCCCCTAGAAGTTTGCTGTTTGCTGTTTTGGCATCCTGTGCGAGGATAGTGACTTTTAAATCAAAATCGTCTCCGCTATGCTTTTGTATCCTATGCGTCCCTAGTGGCGTGCCTTGTTTTGCTTTTCGTTTGCCATCTAGTTGCTCATTTATGCGATACATAAAGGTCTGCCCGTTTCGCCAATGTATTCTTTTCCGCAAATATTACAAAAGATAAGGTATGTCTTAAATGAACATCTGCAGCACCGTCCCTGCCGTAAGGGCAAGCTACGCAACTTTGTGTTTCGCATAGGTTGTCATATGGGCGGTTACGAACTAACTAATGACAAATAGTATCAGGTGGTATTTCAGTTATCGCTACCGATTCCTTTAGATCTGCCCTTCTTAAGCATCGTTTTATAGCTACACTTACTTCATCGCTAATGAAGGGTAACATAAACGGGGTTTTGTTTTGGCCACTCGTTTTGGGGTGTCGTAAATAAGTTTCACCCATCTACTATTTGTTTATGGCTCATATTGTCGCGAATAGGCTAATGGCTACATTTATATTTATTATGGATGCTTTTCAGATTGCAGGTTCATTGGATTCTCTCTGTGAGACGTTAACCCATTCCTTTCTCCACTCACAAGTCGGTTATGTAGCTGTTCGAAAGGCAATAGCTTTGGCCATTGAGAAACTTAAAAACGACGGTTTACTTGTTGATAATGATGAGGTATTCATATTTTCCTCGTTACATATCACATGATTCTAGTAATCAGATGCATGTGACTCCTTTAGTGGGTCAACTTGATTTTTTATGTGGTATAATGTGAACTTCGTTGTTTTATCCTTATTGTTATACGCCTTATTGCGTTATATTGTTATACGCTATATATGGCACTGCCAGGTGGAATGCATTCATGAAGGCAGCTTTTATTTTTAAAATATGAGTTTTAAGGGAGTTTTGTCATCTTCTCAACTGGGTGTTGCAACATTTGCTGCGAACCTCTCTCCGCTTGAAGCTCAACGCCTTTCCGTTGATCTTGCGGCGACTTTGAACAAGGGATTGGTGTTTTCTTCACATTTCCATCTACTCCTTACTATAGCTCCCTACGACGCCGTGTGTAACATAGACTGGAATTTATTTCATACGTTGGTAAGGTTATGAAATAGGATATCGCAGGATAATTGTGTCACCAGACCAGACTTTTAGTACATCGCGTTACCTGACGGGGAGAAGAAGTTGTTGTCGTCATATGGAATCCCCGAGTCTGTCATTCTACAGTACATTATTATGAGAAAAGCATTGGTCCGTGTACACTCTGACATCTTATTGTTTATTTGTTTCTTCTCATTTTACACTTCATTTCAAGGAAGCTGGAGAGCCTGGTATGCGACTTTATATTGGTCTGTTACTTCAAGAGGTTTGGAAACAACAACCGCACAATGTCATAGCAGATAGGTTTGTGTTTTTCAGGCTATTAAATGAACAGTGTGGGTTTTTCGGCATGGAACTTCGAACACACACACGCACCTCTTAATAAATCACCTCGTAATAAATCATATTCGATCGGAGTAATATCAACTGCACTAAGTACGATTAGAATCAACACATCGGCATACATGTTGTCTCATCACATTGTTGAAGACGAGGAAATGGGAGTCGTTTGGAGATATGGAAAGTGGATATGCAGGGTATAGTATTCCGTTTGACCAGTACTACTCACAGCCATTGCAGTACCTTGTCAGTTCCCTGGCAGTACTTTCTTGTTTTAATGACTTTCCCTGGATTGAAAAAGTTAGCGAAGATCACTCCACCTGCCGAGCATGAAACAGCTGTCATGTGATGCAAATTTGATTCTATAAAGTGTCCCACTCATTGATTTGTCAAGTAATTATGAAAAACATCGTGTTGTCGTTTCGTTTTATATCATATTACAATGCGATCAACAAATGAATTGCTTCTTTTGTGAGAAAGTAGCCCTAAATTGAGTTCATAGCAACCATCTCTTTATAATTCGTTCATTTAATGCGACACCCAGTTTTCTAGTTTTTTTTCTTCCAATTCGGAGAATTTTTTCTAAAACTGTTGTGCATGAATCTGGTTTAATAACATCTTCGATTAATCATCGTCAATGGCAGCATCTCATGCTGTTCTTATCTTCATCGTTTTCATTTCCAGCGGGACCTTGTGTTGAAATTAACCTTGGGACGTGCTACCATTGATTTTTTTCTTGGTCAAATGAAGGTTGGGGTTATGAGCGGTTTCCATGGCTTTATGTCGGAAATTGATTTTGTACAGGAGCTTAAATTTCCATTTTTAACAACTCTATTCTTACTGTATAGGTTCTGTAGCTTATTATGCTGTTATCTTAACGTTTTACGCGGGTTTAACCACCACCTTTGCGGGAGGCTCTTTTTCTTGATAAAAAATGGCGAAAGCTGCATAAGAATCAAAACCGCAGCATCTTCATAACTGGTATTATAAAAAATGAGTTTAAGTCACCAAGAGAATTCTGGATTCAGAAAAAGTAAAAAATTTGCCCAATGAAAAGTCGCGTAAGCCACACGTAGTCAGCAACATTACGTTTAAACTTGCAAAGATCTATAGAAGAGTACAGGCCAAAATTGCCTAGGATGCGAGTAAGGTCGTCAACGCCTGCTTACACTCTTCCTAGAATGTCAGCTTTTTATTTACTGCCTATTACAATTTTTCGTGGCAAGGTATTATGTGTGATCCAACCACAATGATGCTAAGATATTTGCAAAGCTGTGGACCGCAGACAGCTGCGGTGGTAATCGAACGAGCTACTGCCTTGGTTATTGCTGATGGCTTATGGATAAAAAACTAGCTGTTACCAAAGCGGAACGAAAGGCCCGCATGGTGTGGTGTTAGCTCCCGGAAAGGTAATAGTGTCTTCGATCTCCTCAGCAGACATCCTTGGTCCGGAGTTTTGCAAATATCTCAGCGTCATTGTCGTTGGATCACACGTAATACCCTGCCATGAAAAATTGTAATAGGTAGTAAATGAAAAGTTAACATTGTGATTTCGACTACAGCGTCAGCTTAACTGGGTTCGTTGCCGATTTGGGCTCCTTAGATCAACCCCTTGACGGGTGATTGTTGATGGCGATGATCGATAGAACTGGCTGAGAGACAGGCGAAACGAAGAACCTGCATGGTGTGGTGATGAACTTGTTAGCCACAGCAAAGTGTAACAACGCGTTTATTCCCCACCGCTTTTATCCCTACTTCTGTCGGCCGCTTCACCATGTGAGGAAGGATGAACAGTCATTAACTCGGAAGAAACTCTTCAGAATACCTTTCGAGAATTGGAATGGGGTAACATGCGAAAGGAAGGCATTCACGTTATCTCGATTTTGCTGATAACCTTCTCATTGGGAAATTTGTTTTATTTCGTTTTCACAAAGACCAAAGAATTTTGCAAGGCTCAAGTGAGACCAACATAGTCGTAGGGAAAATAGTTTTCTTTCATGATTTTTTTTGCTTTGTGTAACTCTTCATCACATCTACTATGAGGATTCTAGCACTTCTTGCATTTAATTCGTTTTTCTCGCATTCATCGTTTATAGAGGTTTCGCATGTTGTTTCTGCTGCTGCTTGAGAATTGCTTGTTTTCTATGAATGTTGCAGAATGCTGGTCGTGTGGTCGTATCGATTCTCCTTGCAGTTTTGGAGATAACTGAGCTAAGCCGTCCCCACATGGAATACAGGGGGCGTTGAGAAACGAGTCAAGTCTGCACCTTTCCTTTTGATGCATTGCATCTCTAACCACTTCGCCATGCGTCCCCTTGCATGAATTATGAACAACTAGCAATTCGAAATAGTGCGTTTGCGTAATGTGAGATTGAAAAGAGCATTGTGTATCAATATAGAAGCACACTTTCTTGTAGGTTTCCTCCGGTGATCTATTTCATGTCTTCAACTTCATATTTATTGTCAGTAGAAATGGGGCACTGTATCTTAACATTAGGACGTAACATGATGCAAAAATATTGTTTCAACAATTACAAAACATATATGGTCGTTTATGTATTAAACATTTTTGTGGACGGTATGTTGCAGGTCCATTGTGGTAACATTATTCTTTTGATTTTACTATTTACTATTGTTCTAGTAATTTTATTACCTAAGTAATTGCAGCAGTTCTTCGTGATGCTTCTAATTTTAGGTTTGGCGTCGATCGTGGTTGGCTACAAAACACGCTACATAATGCTATCTCACAAGCTGCTTCAATTGCGAAGTTTGCTGAGGTGCTGGTCGTTTCTTCACATTCTGATTTAACCGCGCCGATTTCCAAATTTAATCTTTCTAAGAAAATTCCTTCTCTGTGGCCTCTTCGTCTGCTTCTACCGGAGTTGGTGCAGCGACTGTCGGATTGCTTGGTGCTCGAGCTTATTCCGTTAATGGCTATTGATGGTGTAAAAAGAGGACGTGCTCGGCAACTATGTATAGCTGGTTATAAAAATGTAGCTAAGGTTAGAAAATATGACCTTTTGTCTGTAAATGTCATGTTCCCTAATTATTAATATTATTCTGCGTACTTTCCACTAAAAAACGGCTCTGAAGAAGGCGATGCTGACGAAACGTCAACTACTGTTGTGTTTTAAGTGTTTTTATGTGAAAGTAAATGTGTCCAGTATAACAACGTCGCGATTACTGAGAAAGAAAGAGACACATTTATAATCTATTGCCGAGGCTTATAGTAAGTCGACCCTGGGAAGTAGCATTCTCTTTGTTTCATTTATTTTAGGTTGCTAAAGCGGATTATAAGGATCTCATAAAAGATATACCAAATTTGAGCAGATTTAACGCTATACGAATGGTCAACTCTGCAAAGGTATGCCAACATCCATTCACGGGCTTTTTATGTACTCCATTCTTCGTATGAATTTTTGCAGCATGAAGCATTTATATTTCTCAGGATGCTTTATGCCGTTTAGGCTATTCTGCGTGATCAATTAGACGAGAAAATAGAAGAGTTGGATGCGATGGGCATAGAATTGTCAGAAATAGAGGAGCGGGTGAAAAGCTGAAATCCAGCTTACAATTTAACGTGATTGGGTTTTTAACATCTTGTTATTGGAATGTCGTATAGGGCTACCGCTTTTTCTAATAAACCAGTTTTCTGTTTATTATTTATGTGTGCTACCGAACTTCACATAATGCAAGGATCCTAGATCTTTTTCTCTCAGTTCGTCGTCTCTGAAGATCTTCGAATTTCCATGTACGTTCGGCTACCACTTGGAGGCTTTGTCTTCTTCGGTGCATGTCGTCGAATGCTGGTCAAGTTCATTCATGAGATCTGCTAGGACCTTGCATGGATTTCACCATAAATAGTCCCTAACATTCGCTGATCAGAGCAAGGAGTTCTCATAGAGGTCTGCTGGTCATTTGTCAATTCGTAGGGATGGGAAACTTGGTTAGTATGGTCTCGTATCGAAACAACGCTTATATGTGTATTATTACAGTATCTCTAACAACTGCGGTTCTCGGTCGTATAAATTGGACAACAAGTCAATGTCCCTGAAGGATGCCCCATGCATTCATCTTCATTAAGCTTCGTTTGGAGGTGATTCAGTGCATATCTGGCCTTTACGGTGACTCGCGGTGGCCTACCGATGTATCGAGCCAGTGCTGCTCTCCTCCCAGGCAAGTCTAGCACCAATTTTCCGAATCCAGAAGGGCGGGTGGCTTGATGGCCAATGGGTGCTGGGATCGAATCAATGTGTGTGTTGCAGGGCGGCTCCGACCACTGCCTCCACACGTGCCCTAAGACTTCCATAGACATGACTAAACCGAACTAAACCGAGCGTTTCAACGGGACTACAGGTACCAGGTGATACAGGTAGTATTATTACCACTTGCATTACTCTTCATATTCACTGATGGCAAAGATCGATACAACTAGCTGAGAGACAGGCAAAACGAAAGAGCTGCATAGTGTGGTGGTGAACGCGTTACTTCCCGGAAAGGACAATAGCGCGTTCGTTCCCCACCTTAGACACCTGTGGTCCAGCGTTCTGCAAATATCTCAGCATCATTGAAGTTATATTTTGCATCATACCCTGCCACTAAAAGGAGTAGGCAGTAAATAAAACGGTGAAGATTGAGATTGTGCGATAGTTGCCGATATCATGGAGGTCACCCTTATCGAACAATAGCATGGTCTTGCTGGTCTTCCATTGAGTACGGACCTTACATTCAGACAGATAACGTCTGAAGAGCCGAGCCAATGTGTTTATGAAGATTGGCGGAAGGTTCTTCAGGCCTTCAGATCCTTTCCTTTCCGGATCTGGTGCTGTTCGATTTTTCACCGACGAAATGGCATGTTGGATTTCGGAAGGGAGAACCGGTGGGACCACATATCCTTTCCCCTTTATTTCATATGACGGAAGGTGGACGTGGTATCGAAGAGATCCGAGTAGTATCCGTGAATGATTTTCTCCATTGCCTTTCTGGACGCTGTAACTGTTCCGTCTGGGCGCCGGAGTGCAATCATCTTGGTATTGTAATTGACGAAGCTTCGGTGACCTTTACGAATGCTTTTCCCAGCCTCTGCAGCTTTGACCATTACTCTGCTCTTCTTTCTTTAAAACCTTCTTTCATCGCCTGTCTGCATTGTTTTGCAAGTTCGGACGTTAGTTCGCGGTTGCCTACAGCTAGTGCGATTCCACGCTGGCGTATCAGCTCGAGTGTTTCTGGAGACAGACGTCTCTTAGTGACTTTCGAACTCTCAGCTTTCATAGCGCTAACGTGAAGATGTTGAATGAGCCGATCATACTCTTCGTCGCTGTTATCGGCAACGGCATCTTCCCAACAGCCGACTAATGAATTGAATAAGTCCCAGTTTGCGGTGGTTCTAGGACTTCGGTTTTGGAATTTAGCTGCTTTTCTCCTTTTCGAGAAAAATGGAATCTTGCATGAAGGAGGCGATGATCTGACCCTTGTAAAATTTTGGGTCATCGGCGAGATCTGTTAGGCAAAGCCTTCAAACCTTCTGTTAACTATGACGTGGTGTATTTCGTTGCGGCACTCTCCACTGGGCCCAGGCCTGCGTCGTTTAGGAGGAGGGGATGCTTCTTGAGTTGCGGGTTATTATGAATCGTCTTGATCGTGGTGATAAATTCAGACAACTACTCACATTGCTCGTTCCGTTATAATCCGTGGGTTCCATTATGGGATTTTGCAGACGTTCTTTGGGTTCAATCTTAGAGTTAAAATTATTGTTTTTCTTCAGAGCTTGCTTTACTTAGATTGGAATCCATAATTGAAGAGACAATTCGGTCCCATTTTTAACATCAGCTATATAACACGTAGTCACAGTATTGGTATAAAAAGTGAACCAAGTGTCCATTATGTCACAAGTATTGCTCTAGTATGAGTTGCTTGCGATCCAAAGGAATGCCAAGCAATGTACCAACTAAAGCAGCTCGTGAAGACGATGAAACTGAAGCTCACTAGGTGAGCTATCAAGTAACAGCTAATGAGATGTTGCGGAGCATGGTCTCAGTGACTTTCGTTTATTCATAAGAAGGATAACCTTTTTAGAGAAAAGTGAGCATCAGAGTGAATTACCTTCTTTGTTATTGCTTACACTTTTGTTTAATCTTAGTAAAGGAGCCTAAGGTAAGGGTAATAGAGGGTTCAAAGCTCTCGCGAGGCTTCGAGTTTGGCTCGTATCTCAGCATCTTTATGGTTATACTTCGGACCATATCTTGCCGTGAAAAAAGAATAGCCAGAAAATGAAAGTTAGAACATTGTGGTTTCTTGTGCTCCCCAGATAATTCGCGTTGACGGCTGATTGGTGATAGTTTTGTTAGGGTAGAAAACTGGCTGACAGCAAGGCAAATTACTGCTTCGGTGTAATGTGGAACACGTGAACCCTTGGGAAGAGTAATGAGGAACTCGAATCTGGTTTGGAGTGCGAGTTTTTTTTACGTATCTCGGCGTCATTGTGGTTGTATTTCGCGTGACACCCTGCTATGGAAAAAATAATAAGCGTTAAATGAAAGACTCATTCGATTCATCAGAACCCCTGAAGAACACACGGATGGTCCAACAGCACGGCTCTGAGGAAGGCAAATTCGCCGCGATGTCAGCTATCGAAGAACAGAAGCAACAACAACAAGAAGAACATCTATAAGTATTTAGTGAATGAAAACTTATCCATTGTTTTTCATCTCAGTTTCCGTTTTTTTCGAATTACTTAAATGCACAGAATTCTGGGAATTTTCGTCGCATCGAGAAAGAAGAGCAGCTTATTTCTTCAGTGTGACAGCATTATCATACTACGGTATCAGCTGTGAAGGCCCTTCGCTTTTGAACTTCTTTAAATTCTTTTGTATGTCCTGGCGAGTTTCGGTCACCTAAGAGAGACGAGTGGCGCACTCTTTTTGGTATGATGCTTTTTTCCACTGGTTTTAGTAATAGAGTACCCAAAGAATGGTTTCGTCCAAACGTTGACGTGTACGATATCTTCCGTGCACAAGCATAACCAAGGACGGATACATGTAGCTATGATTATGTGCATACGGAACGTACAATTTAACGCAGTCTAGAAAAAAAAGGTGTTCTGTCCCCTCGACCCAAATCCAACTACTTCTCAAGGTAACGTGCATGGTGGTTTCCACGCTTAACTCTAAACCTAACGCACATAGATGGGCCACATTACTTCGAGTTGAAAAGGCTCTTGAGATTTCTCACAAGGACATTCGTTGATAACAACCTTTATCTGAAGAATAAACTATTTGTATGCTAAGAAACTCACAATCTAAGCGTGAAGCTCTATATAGTAGTACTGGAAATGGGGAGATAACCATCTTGACATGACCCCTATCAGATGTCTATTTACTAGATCAAACAAGACCTATCTAAGAAAAGCGTTTACTTGATACTTGAATGGATCGTTTTCACTGGTTGTGTGAGCTCCAGCAAAATTTCCACTTTTTCGGAGTTTTGCTGCTTCAGCCATTGTGGTTCTTTGGATTCCTAAAGTCAGGCTGGCCAAAGTCTGCCCAGGTTTTCACCACTACAAGCAGTCGCTGCCCTTGTGCATCAGAGAGGGACTTGGCATGATGCGACTTGTTTGATACCAGGGCGATGGTGAATCCTGGTATTGGTTTACACTTAGCTAGACTTCCTGATGGAAACTCCGGATTCTTCAGCTTGGAAAATCCTATTCGGGGATGAATTCTTCTGCTCTACATCACAGCCCGGGACCGAGGAGCACCTCCCTACCACGATGAGGCGGTGAACTATTGGGAGGATCTGAGAATAGAAACGAATTACAATGTGGAAAAGCGAGGTGAAATGTCCCTGAAAAGTCCCATTGATGGCCTTAAATGGGACCACTTTCAGTAATTGTAAAATGTAATTGGAATATGAATAGTGCGTTTCGTGTGACACGATACTGCTCGTCGTCCAGTTTGCAAAAATGGTCTCAATTTCGCGATCTGTTGTGATCTCTCTTCATCGAAGTCTTGCTTAAGAGTTTTTAGCTAGTATTCGAACTGAATTCGTAGAAGTTGAAAATCGGTCGCTCGATTCTATTCGTTGTCGTCCATGACCTGACCGGCAATCGAATTTGGATAGTTATGACAGCGCAATTATGGCACGGCCAGGGTATTGTATTCAGTAGACACGTAAAAGTGCGATCGGGCGGAACGAACGCTAAGTCACTTCTCGGATTACCACATTACTCTTTTACAACCTCTTATAACAACATGCCGCGTGACATGAAGCGATCTTCATCGGGATGGACAAAAACGCTATATAACTTCTGCTTCACTGTTTTCATCTCTTCATTGACGACAGTACTAAGAGAGTTAGTTCAGTACTTGTTACGATTACAATTTCCGCTACTTCAGGTCCTACTTGTCCTTGCTAGTTTCCTAAAATTTCCTGTTAAGGTATTAATGCATAAAATGTATATTAAATGCTTTCGTTATCACAATTATTTACACTAGAATTTTAGCAATGGAAGAAGAGAAAACTTCACTAGCTATGACTTGAACGAGTTTATTGTTAGTTGTTT